TATATATATATATATATATATATATATATATATATATATATATATATATATATATATATATATATATATATATATATATATATATATATATATATATATATATATATATTGCCCTTCATTCCTATATTTCCAAAATCTTTATAATGAAATGTGTGGCAAGTGACCTAAGTTACATTAACTATTAAATTCTTGTGATGCTTGTTCTCATTTATATTTGGTTATAAAGGAACTATATTTGTCGGATGAAAGAAACCTAGACGTCTGATTTTGAATGGGTCTCTCTTGAGAAAAGGCTGCTTTCGATTTCATTAGGGAGTTTTTCACTATAGTTTGGGAAGAAATAATTTCAAGCTAATAGTATAGCTAAAAAGTAGGTCATGTTTTTACATCAGTATAAATTAATTCAATATATATCATTAGTATGACATTTAGACTAGACATAAAAGCTATCAAATAGACATAGGTTGTCCTTACCATTGTCTAAACAGAAGATTAAATATTTTGTCTCTTTGAATCTGGTGAGAGGGATAATCTTTTTTTAATCACTCGCGGTCACACTCACTTAGATTATTAACTTAGCATTGAAGTGTAGAAGTGGAAAAATATTTTCAACATCAATATTTATGTAGATGGTACCTTAGTATTTTTATCTTGGTAGCTCATTAAACAATCTTGTGCACATGATTTTAGATCACATTGGACTAACTATGACATCAATGATATCTTACCGTGACATTTTTGATACTAGAAAAAGGATATGATATCACAAAAATACTTATCCACTAATTCATTTAATGAACGCTTGAGCGAAGAAACTTTCCCTCCACTCATAATATTTTTATCCAATTGGGCAACAGATCACATTTTAGATTTATAAAAATAATAATAAATTATTATTTTATTATTCATAATTTACAAAAGACACTCTTTTTTTTTATCATTGGATTCAAATTTCTATATTTACAATAGTAAATATTTTCATTAACTAAAAAAATGATCATATGTTCTTGGTAGAGATATAAGTGACGAAATTTTTTTTTTTACCCAAGCCTCAAATGTATTATAAAGTAATAGATTAGTCTAAAAATAAATATAAAATAAAAACATATCAGCAACCACACATGTTGGTTAAAACCTTTGAAAAAATTATAAAATTAATATTTAGTATTCATGAAATATATACAAATATCAATACTTTAATATAAAATGATAATAAAATCATGCATTAGTCACATGCAACGCATACATAATAGTTAGATAATAAAAGTCTATATCACAAATGATGGTGCACTCTCCTAGTAGTGAATGAAGAGTCATACTTAATGGGATGGATTCCTCCCAATAATGTATAGAAAGTACTCATATCATACTCCCAACAACAGATAGAGTGGTATCCGTCACTCACTCAAGTTGGGACATGTTCCTCCTAACAACGGATGAAAGAACTATCTAACCGTCATGTTTAACAGCCTAGTAATCCTTGAAGAGAATTGTCCTACATACCCTCGATAGAGATATATAAACAATCATGATAATTCATTTACATATACATCCAAAAAATAATATGATAAAATATTATGAGGAACCATGCTTGATATATGATATGATAAACTATGTTCATTGGTGGCTTTGTACTATGATGAGCCCATAGCTTTTTTTCATAGGTTGCACTTTCAATGTAGACCATTAGCATAGTCAGGTATACTATAGAGTAAAAGTCATATCAATATAATAAACTTAAAAAATTAATAATTATTTTAAAATTTAAATTCATCAAATCATAAAGACACGAGATATCAATCTCTTAACGGTCCTCAATTAACTAAACCCCAATTCGAATGACTTAATTGACTTAAACTAAGATTAATTCAATTAAGACTTAACGAAACCAACCTCAAATCCTTATAGAACCAATCTGAAATCATCATGTACTAAATTAATTTAGATTTGATTGATTTTAATTAAGTTGAGATGTTTCAACTAGTTAAGTTGTTTTAAAATCATCCTAAACTAGCTCGAACTGAACAAATTTATATTATTCAATTAATTAATGAGCTCAAACTAATAAAGGAAGAGAAAATTAGACTCTATCATATAATACTAGTTCGAACCGAACTGACCCACTTGAGTTTTGGATAGGTCACATGTACCGCATGTATTTATCCCAAGTAATATGTGGGGTTGAGATACAACAAGTTGAATAGAGGAGTGATGATGTGTCTAACGCCAATCACATAGCTTGATGGGCCTAATTTAGCAGACGGGGGCTGAGCCTCACTCACATGCGCTAAGCCTTTCTAGGAAACCTTAGTGAGGCATTACATGCGTAGCGAAAAATAGAAAACAAAAACTAATTTCCTAAAAGAATGATATAGGAATGTTATGCGACGATTAGGAGAAAAAAACTCAATAAACTGAAAAACTACGTAAGATTCATGAGATGTTTTCACCTATGGGAGATCGTATACCCCTGAAAAATGTAAATCCAAATTCATGGATGAAAGAGATCAAATGTCCTCCTCTCTAATAGTACTCCACACGGTAGATGATACAACGATGCATATCCCTTTGCAGCACGAGTCATCGCAACTTTCGTACACCACCTCACAACAACAAGTAAAGAAGGGTCGACTCTTTCTTTGTTGTCCTCACACACCACTAAACACACCACTAAGGGGTTGACGGCTAAGGAGGAGAGGGAGGGAGAAGAATAGGAGGAGGCAACCAATTAGGTCTAGCCTATGATCATTTTGCCTCTCTCCTATTTATAGAGGTCATTGTTAACTTAACCCTAATGGATCCTACCCTAATGGGTACCGAATCTCTATTCAATCACCTTAAGCCTCTTGGATTAATAGATCTCTATCCAATAATCACTATTTGCTCTTATTGGGTCTCACCCAAAAGATATAATAAAATAGAGCCTTATCAGATATCCAATAAAATCGGGGCTCATCAAATATCTCATATTCAATCCTCTACTCGTCGTGACCCACCACATGTTTGTGATCCTCTAGGCCTAATACCAAGCTGGCCATAAGTTGCACCTGTCAGAAGTCTTCTAACTTAAAACTTCTTCTAGTGAATTATTATCTTATAATAATTCACTCAACTCATCGACTATGGATGTATTATGCCACTACGCTATAGTCCTCAAACAGTACAAGGGAATCTAATCCACTGGACTTGTTTGCCCACATTTATCATATATCTATAGTCTCTCATCTATATAATATCTCAAAGACCATATACTGAGCATGGTATTATGAAGCTCATATGGAATCTACTCGAGTCTCACTCTAATTGGATTTTCCTAGAGAACTTCTCTCTCAATCCGAATGATCCTGACTAGGGATTTACTTGAGTGAGAATACATGGGACATTCTTCTCATGATACTTAGAGCAGATGATCATTTACTGACACTCAATTGCTTTCATAAGATTGGCTATCATTCCCAATTATCAACTATGTTAGATCTAAAACTTCCAAACCTATAAATCTGATATTAAAAAGTGGAATACTTATACAGCAAATCTTTGGTGTTAAGTCTAAGGATCAGATACATAATTGAGACCATAGAATCATTATTTGACAATGAGGTATCATTGACCATTTAGTATTCCATGAGCAGATCATTTAGTGAACTCATTATGCAATGAGCACATGCATTATATCCCTAGTGTCCCAACATAAGCAGCTATGAGACCAACTGTCTCAATCATATAGATGAGTATATAGTACATCGACCTCTTCGATTATCTTCGTATCCCTCTCAAGTAACCTATGACCGAGAATATTCAGGGTCTGTTTGTATAGGTCAACTGGTCTCATTATTATGATCTCATCATGATCCAATTCTCATTGCACAAATCCATGAATATTATAATATATTAATCAAGTAATATAAAGTGAGAAAATACCATAATAATAATAACCAAAGAGATTGTACAACATGTCATCACTGATATGATTGGTGTAAAGGGCACTTGTAACTAGCAAGTCTTACCACTTTGGGCAATGCTTAGCTTACGAGTTAGGTCATATCTAGATACATGAGTTAGAGTCATGTTTAACCATATAAACTGAGTCATACGTTATCATCTGGATTGGGTTGTACATTATCATATGGCCTGGGTCATGCTTGGTTATATAGGTTGAGTCATACATTGCCATATGGGCTGGGTATATCTGGCCACATGAGTTGGGTTATTTCTGGCTATATGGGTTGGGTTGTATTTGGCCACAAGAGTTGAGTTGACACAATCCGATAAATCAACGTTAGACCCTGATTAAACTCATTTTATTAAATTAGATTTTAATATTTTTAAATTATTAAATAATAACTCAAATTCATGAATTAAAAATTTTAAATTCATGATATTAAATTTAAAAAATTTAAATCATAAAAATTCACACATAATTCTTGAAACACAAATATATCTAATTAAATAAATTAAAAATTATTATATTAATCTAAAAATAAAAATTTTAATAATTAAATCAATCTTGATGTTCACTTAGGCTCAAGAGACCATTATAAATCCAATAATCATTTTAATATCATAAGTCAATTATTATTATTTATTATTAATAAAATTTTGAAACTAAATTATTATTATGTATCATAAAATTATAGCAATCCTAATATTAAAAAATTTAAAATATGAATCAAGAATCCTCTTTTCGAAAAATCCTTTCCTCAATTCTCTCCGGCTTAGTGATAATGAAGGAGGAGGGGCCTTTATATAGGAGAAGACAAGCTCTCCCCAAAACTTAAGTAATTATTTAATTTAATTTTTAAATTTATTTTTATTTTATTTTCACACACAATATTTATTTCTTATGATTAATATACAAAAATAAAATATAAACTATTTACTTCCTAAAAATTGCATCACT